ACTCTGACACCGTACGCAATTGGCCGTGAGCAATAGCTTCGCGGAACCAGGCTTTCCAACCTGCACTTCAGCCCAAAAGTCCTCTTCAAAGGCCGTCTCTGCACCAGATATGACAATGTTCGGCCGGGCCTTGGTAACGTCCATTTCCTCATCGCCAGCTAACCGTGCCGAGACATCCTCAACTGAAGTGCGCGACACAACCAGATATGGCGCCGCATCAGCAAAAGTAATCTGCTCTTCCTTTGTATTCTGCCGTCCAGCTCCATACCAAACCACAGCTCCTGCTGCCCCTGTTGCTCCTATACTCCCCAGTAACCCCATACTCAGACCCACCCAAGACAACAAAATCATCACACCCACCAGCCCTGTTCCTAGACCCAACAACCCGCCCCTCTTCCACCACCCGTGCATACCCCTATGCGCTGAACTTTTCTCCGGCGCAAAACTCCCCAGTACACCCCTGTAATTCCCGCCCAAATACACCAGCACCACCCGATATCCAAAACATTCACTAAACCACCGATTATACTCCTCTCTCATGATATAGCCCTTTGTCGGACTCTGGTGCATGACGACTTCTACCTCCTCTAACCCCGCCATATCGGGTATCAGCGGTACCTCCAATTTCCGCTGGGACTGGGATTGATCAGCAGCAGGTGGAGGACGATATGTGACCACTATCCTGCTGGACTCAGACCCTGATGCTTTCTTGCCATCATCACTTTGAATGATATCGGTGTAGAATAGCGACATCTCCGGAAAATGAGGTACATGCATATTCTTGTATTCGCCATTGGGAAGGACTTTGAGGAGCATATAATGGCGGTCATAGGGGAAGCCGGTTCTAGTGAAGGTTGCCCTGGAGATGGGGATGCCTTGAAGGGATTTGATGGGGTAGGTGTAGAGCTTTTGGTTCATTATTGTTAGTATTACTAGTATTGATACTGGGATACAAGCATGGATGGAAGGGTGGATGGAAGTGGGGGGTTGATGTACTTGACTGATGTGCATGGTGATTCCGTGTTAGGAGTAGGTAGTTTTCTACTTGATATATTGTAGATCTAAATATGAATGAGTTTATGAGAAAGAAAGACAGAAAGAAGGAAGGAAGGAAGGGATACAGGGTCAGGATGACTGACTGAGTGATGCATTCCGCGGGAATAATTAGCCAAAGCAAGCTAGCTCCATGCGGAGATAAGCCGGGGAATCCAGACTTGGAGGGGAAAATGACTCCAACTTGCTTGTCCTATCGGCGCTTTTTTCTTATCGGCGGGTCTCTCCCTTCCCCGTCTTGCTTTTTGTCTCCGCACGGGTTTCCCTTCTTCCCCGACCCTCTCCGAATTTCATTACTCCTCCGAATTAGTAAAAGATCCCTGTTATGATGTGTTGAACATTTTAATTTCACTGTACAGACATGCATTCATAAATTAAACATAACCATGATCATTTCCCCCACCTTTCCTACTCATCCTTAGCCCAAGGCAGACTAAAGGTTCCCGCCCAGTCCTCCACCTCCTGCCGCAGGAGCACAATCTCCGGAATCTCCTCGCCCTCGCGCACATATTCCAAGAACGCCTTGACAGTGTTCGGGTTCTTCACACCCTTTGCGGCCGCGCTCTCCTTGGCTGCCTTGTCCAGCTTCTGTGTGATGATCACTGCCCGGTCCACAATGTCTGCGACGCGGCGGAAGTCCTCCGGCTGGAAGCCTCGCGTGGTCATGGCCGGCGTGCCCAGACGTAGACCACCGGGCTTCAGAGCCGACTTGTCACCCGGCACCGTGTTCTTGTTGCTGGCCACACCGCACAGCTCCAGCACCCGCTCGACGCGCGCGCCGTCCACCCCGCGGTTCTTCAGGTCCACCAGCACCAGGTGGTTGTCGGTGCCGCCAGAGACGATGTTGTATCCCAGGCCTCCGTTGCTGAGCGGGCTGCCAAGACGATCTGCCAGGGCCTTCGCATTGGCCAGCACCGTCTGCTGGTAGGTCTTGAACTCAGGCGACTGCGCCTGCTTCAGCGCCACAGCCAAGGCGGTGATGGTGTGGTTGTGGGGGCCACCCTGGTGACCTGGGAACACGGACGCATTAATCGGGCCCTCCAGGTCATACATCTCCGGGTTGCCCTTCTTGTCCGTCCGGCGGACACCCTTGCGGAAGAAGATCATCGCGCCGCGGGGACCTCGCAGCGATTTGTGGGTCGTGGTAGTCACCACATCTGAGTGGGCGAAGGGCGACGGGAGGACGTCCGCAGCCACGAGACCGGAGATGTGGGCCATGTCACTCAGCAAGTATGCGCCGGCGGCGTCTGCGATCTGGCGCATGCGAGGGTAGTCAATCAAGCGGCTGTAGGCCGAGGTACCGGCGATGATGAGCTTGGGGCGGTAGAGAAGCGCCTGCTTCTCCAGGGCGTCGTAGTCAATGAGACCGGTAGACTCATCTAGCCGGTAAGGCAGCGTTTCGAAGTACTTCGAGATGAATGAAATCTTCTTGGTGGGGGTCTGGTAGCCGTGGGACAAGTGGCCGCCATGGGGCAGGTCCAGGCCCATCAAGCGGTCGTGGGTGTTGAGGATGGCGGAAATGGCGTAAAGGTTAGCGGGCGAGCCGGACAGCGCTGTGCTTGTCAGTATAATTGTCGTACGCCAATGTCATTATAGAAATCTCACGTTGCACGTTCACACCCCATTCTTCGGGGTTAAGGCCAAAGGTCTCGAGCGCACGCTGCTGGCATAGCCGTTCAGAGGCATCAATGTGTTCGTTTCCACCATAGTATCTAGCACCGGGATATCCCTCCGAGTATTTATCTGTTGTCGCATCAGCTTCTGCTGCCCCAGGATCGAACAATGGAACATGACTGACTTTGCATGACACTGCCCAGCGCATCGAGGACAGCTTGTGATGTGAAGTTCTCGGAGGGGATGAGGTTGATGAAATGTTGCTGACGTTTTTTCTCCTATTCCTGGGGTGAGTGGATATACCAATTGCACTTGAAGAATTGGCAGTTCTACCTTCTGGAGAATGTCATAGATGGCGGGGTCGGACTCCTCGAGGGGTGCGGAGAGCAGCTGGAGTCGGTAATTAGCGGGTATGGTACGATAAAGATATGGAATGACATCAGGCAACCCGGAAGCTGCTGCATTGCGCGAATTCCGCACGATGAGGGAACACATACAGTCTGCTGTCCTTCACGAGTCGAGGAGGACACGCTGCGGCCTTGTCCCGGCAGGCGCAAAGGAGCAACCGCCGCAGGACGAAGCTGGAGAGGGATGACAGTCGACCGAATAGCGGAGCTTGCCGTGCGCGGGATCAGGCGCGAGGCCTGACGTCCACAGCGACTCAACATGATGCAGAATGTGTGATGTACAACGAAATCAGATTGGGAGAGGGGAAGAGAAGGCAATGGAGAAGATAAAAGAAGAAAAGAAGAGGAGGGAACGAGGGACCCAACGGACGAAGACGCAAGGAATGCGCGGTGATGGTATCAGCTCTCCGGTGCTGATAACGAGCTTGCCCGACTGGCCGCCAGTTGCCCGCGGGAAGCACCTGACTCTAGCCCCAATCGGGTTTAGCATCTCCGAGGGGCCCATGCGTTCGGGAGGAGTAGATATTCCGGTTCCGAGCTCGCTTGCGGGAATCCTCGCTTCCCTCCTTTCATTTTTGTTTGTGTGTGTTTCTCCCTCTTCTCTTCTTCTTTTCTTTTTCCTTTCTTCATCACACAACTAAATCCAAGATGAAGAAGGGCGTTTACGCTTGGCAGTTCTCGTGGATGGTCTGGTCTCGATCAGGCTAACCCGGGCGATGCTGACATGTCCCCGCCTCTCACCATCCATTAGGGACAATTTGAACCATCCGATTGGAATCGTGTTTGTGTGTGTCTTCTGAAATAATGTGATCCACAGCTATACATGGCTGATAGGTGATAAGAGATGGTTGGGACATGGGATGAAATGTTTTTTCTTTTTTTTCTTATAATATCTATAGTGGTTATGATAGACCGTGTATAGTTCATGTGATAGTCAGGGACTACTCCCAAACTAATGAATGCAAGTTGTCATGAAAAACATCGATGATCACGATCTAGAACTGTTTATCCACTAAAACTATACTCCGTCCTACTAAGTACTCCATTATCTAGTAGCGAGGCTCCCACATTGACCTTCAGCTGCAAACTCTAGTAGCACTGTCGAGCAGGATGATCCTGAGATTTGGCGACTTATGAATAGAAACCGGATATGGACCTATGGCTGAAGGGGGCAATGATTCTCAGGAGTCATCAAACCTTAGTGAACAACAGCCGGTTCCTGACCCAAAGATAGATGGTAGCCACAGAAAGAAAGACGGTGAAGGGGGGAAATACAGAACAAGACAGACCCAAGCAAAACTAACAGATCGAATTATGATGCCAACAGCATCCAGACCCTGAGAGAAAGGCCGTGAAGCACTCATTAATTGGTGATGTTTCACCATTGCCAGTTGCCCGCTGGGTTCCTGCAGCCCGAAATTGAACGTGGGGAACTTCCAGGTGGTAACGGTATGGTCACTAGGGGGAAAGAATACCCCGGAGAAAGAGTAGAAGATAGGAGAAATAATAGAAGGCACTAATTCACTGTATGTGTATTGTTGGTAATGGCCCGACTGTGGACGGGCAGCACTAGACTGGAAGGAGCGATGGTGGCTGCCCCCTCTTCGCTCCTTCCTTTTACTCTGTAATGTTATTTATATTAATATCGGGATCGGCCCGCTGGTTCGCCTCCTTTTCTCTCTCTCTCTCTTTCTCTCTCTCGTTCACTCTTTTCTTCCCTCCACTCACTCGCTGTTTCAGCTCTTCCGGTTCTTCAACCGAGTACATTCTTTTTCACGAACACAGTCAATCCCTCCCAAGACTACAGTCTTTACAAACGAGAAAAGAGATCCTATCTCTCCGTCAGTCCTTCGACGTCATCTATATATCCAATCTCTACACAAAAATCCAAACAAAGCACCTTCAATTCCACCCACATCCATCAAAATGCGTGTCGCTTCCGCTGCTGTCGTTGCCTCCCTGGCTGCTGGTGCCATTGCTACCGAGTACAAGACCGTCTATGTCACCGAGTACACCACCGTTTGCCCTAAGGCCACTTCTCTGGCCACTGGTCCTGGTGCCGGTTCTGGCTCGGGTGCCCAGACTACCCCGGCTGCTGCTCAGGTACGACTATTTTTCATTCTTCCTGAATTTTCCACCTCAATCAGCATCAACTGACTCCATTTGATATAGCCTACCACCATCACCATCTCCGGCACCCCCTACACCTACTCCACTCCCCTGGTTACCTCGACTGTGACCCACTGTGACAAGTGGTATGTTCTCGGCTCCATCCGCGAAGATCACTATCCGAATAATCTCAAACTGACTGATTTGATATCAACAGCTCCGCTACTGCCGTCCCTGCCACCTCCACCCCCGAGGGTGCCGCTGCTGTCGGTACCGGTGCCTCCCCCAGTGAGGCTCCTGGCTCTGGCTCTGGTGCCTCTCCTAGCGGTGCCGCCGCTGGCTCTGGCTCCGGCGCTTCCCCCAGCGAGGGTGCCTCTGGCTCCGGCTCTGGTGCCTCTCCTAGCGGTGCCGCCGCTGGCTCCGGCTCCGGCTCTTCCCCCAGCGGCGCCGCCGCCGTCGGTACCGGTCCCTCCCCCAGTGAGGCCGCCTCTGGATCCGGCTCTGGCTCCGGTGCTTCTCCTAGCGGTGCCTCCGCCGGCTCTGGCTCTGGCTCCGGCTCCGGCTCCGGCTCCTCCCCCAGCGGTGCTGCCGCTGGTTCCGGAGCTGGTTCCCCCGGTGCTTCCGCTGGTCCCAGCGGAGCCGGTGCCATTGGAATCGGCGCCACCACCCCGGTCGTCTCTTACACCCCGGTCCCCACCCCTAGTGGCTTCCACCCCTCTTCTCGCCCTCTGATCCCCAGCAGCAAGCCCGCCTCCTCCAAGCTCGTTGCTTCCTCCAGCGCCACCCCCGCTGCCTCCAGCCCCGCCCCTGCTAGCTCCAGCTCCAGCTCCAGCTCCGGCTCCTCTGCTACCTCCCCCGAGGGTGTCTCCGCCGCTGGCACTGGCTCTGGCTCCGCCACCACTCCCTCCGCCCCTGTCTTCACTGGCGCCGCTACCCGCGCCGCGGCCGGTGCTGGTGCCGGATTGGCCTCCGTCTTCGCTCTCGTCGCCTTCCTTCTGTAACTGAATTGACTTGAGGGTGTGTGTCATGGAATCAGATCTATAGAGGCATATAGAATGTCCCTCTTGACTTTCGGGACTTCTATCTATACCATGCAAGAATCTACTGGATACACTAGCGTATAAGTGGAGGTAAACGATCGGATGGGTGGTTTCCTTTGTTTGTGTCGATACTTTTTACCTTTTTTTCTTTACGACTCGACTGACAAATAACTTATTGTGTGCTTTATACCTTATTGGAATCTTCTGACGTCTATGGTTTTTTTTTCTCTTCTTTTATTTATATTCATCTACGGATTCGCATCGCTTGGCTTCCGGTTGTTCATGTTCTCGTTTTTCTATTGTCTATAACTTTAATGTTTTGAGTCATGTCTCTGAAGCAATTCAGATACAGATACATACATATGTTCACTTATAGTATTTGCGTATATCCTATCAATAGATACATAAATCTCATCCGTGTATCGATGAATACAATACGCATCGATCATCAATAGTACAGCTTCACACACATGGCTTCCAATTCGGCAGGTACAGCCATATATATCATCAATTGTCACCCGTACAGCTTGATACGTATCCAATGTCATCCAATAAGTGATTACAGCTTCGCCCGTTCCTGCCGCTCAAAATACTCCCGCACGCGTCGTCGTGCCTCATCCACAACCTCGGCATCTTCCACCGTCGGCGGCACATTCACCGGCGCCTCGTACTCCCCGCGCACTGCATGCTCAACCAGCTCCCGCAGCACCCGGCGGAGCGTCTTCCCACTGCGCGTCTTCGGGATCATACCCCGGCCCTGAATCATGCCTCCCAGGGACGCGATTGCCCCGATCTGCTCGCGCACCAGCCCATTCACCTCCTGGAACAATTCCGCTGCAGGTTTCGCGGGGATGGGCCCGGTCGCGGTCCGTGGCTGAATGAACGCGAACGGGAGGTGACCCTTCAGCGGGTCCGGAAGGCCAACCACGCTGGCTTCGCCGATTTGCGGGTGCGAGAGGATTGCTTGCTCGATGGCGCCTTTCACAGACGTGTTAGCCTGTATCTACTATCCCTACATAGATTCAGTGATGCGACGTCGAGACTTACCCGTACTGAAGCGATGCGCCGCGACGTTGATGATGTCGTCGGATCGCGCCATGATATGTATATATCCGTCTTTATCGATCATCCCTGCGTCTCCGGTGTCGAGCCATTGTCCCTTGAATCTACGTAGATAGCTCCGGTAAAATCGATCGTCGTCGTTGAAGAGTTGCGTAAATGCGGTGGGCGCCAGTGGAATGCCCAGGACAATGTTTCCCATCGTGCCCGGAGGTAACAGTTTTCCCTCGTCATTGACTACGCGCACGTCAAAACCAGGCATGGGCAGACCTGCAGATCCTGGTCGAATGGCCAATGGCTTCACTGCATCGGTCTGGGGGGAGAGCGACTCCATTGCCGCAGCACTTCTTAGTGCCAGGCCAGATATGGGAGACCCTGACTCTGACGACCACCAATTGTCCACCACCTTTGCACCGGGAGCAGCGTATTGGCTCAGAAGTTCTTGGTAGGCTTGGACAATGCTGGGTTCACTCCTTTCTCCCGCAAGAAACAGTGCGCGAAAGTGTTTGAGACCGCCTCGCTGGGCCACCTCTTTAAAGCAGCGATTGTTGGGATCATCCTTGCGGATGGCCCGCATGGCTGTGGGTGCCGTGAACAACACATGGGCCTTATGCTCTTCGATAATCCGCCAGAAGGTGCCCGCGTCCGGAGTTCCCACCGGTTTTCCTTCGAAAAGGATCGTCGTTGCTCCAACCAAGAGTGGCCCATACAAGATGTATGAATGACCGACCACCCATCCAATGTCAGAGGCGCAGAAGATGACGTCTCCAGGCCCTTGTATGTCGAATAGGTGTTTCATCGACAGCTGGAGTCCCACTGCGTGCCCACCGGCCTCGCGGAACACGCCTTTGGGCGAGCCCGTGGTGCCTGGAATTGGTTCTCGAGTTAGTTTTACCCAAGGGCCACACTGAAGATCGGAGTCGTACCACTAGTATAGATGATATATAGTCCATCCGTGCTCTTCACGGGTACCGGTTCGGCCCTGATGCCACGCATGCGTGCGCTCTTTACCAGTCGTTGCCAGTTACGTTGTCCACCTAACTTATCGGGGTTGTTCCATCGCAGCTGATCCCTCTGCCACACGATCACTTTCTCTGGCTTGAAGCGGCTCAGCTCGATAGCACCCTCAACCAACGGTCGGTAGGCGATAGGACCTTTCGACCCTTCGATACCGCATGACGCCGTCATGACGACGCGTGGCTTGGCCGCTTCGATGCGTTGTGCGAGCGACTTGGCTGCAAAACCGCCAAAGACTGCGGCATGAATAGCACCTAAGCGTGCGATCGCCAAAGAAGCAATAAGTGCGGCAGGAATCATAGGCACTGTCGATCGTTAGGTTCTGGTTCATTATATCTAGATCGAAGGTGATTCAGAATTGAGTCTTACTGTAGATAATGACGACGTCGCCCTTTCGCACACCCTCTTCCCTGAGCACGCCTGCTAGAACTTCGACTTCGTCCAATAGCTGTTTGTATGTATATTTCTCCCTCGTCCCCGTTACCGGGGACTCCCAGATGATAGCAATATTATCCCCATTTCCCGAATGGACATGCCGATCGACACAGTTGTAGGTGGTCGAAATCTCTCCATCCGGGAACCAGCTCCAGTGAGAATGACTGGAGCCACTGGGAGTTGTTTTCGTTTGCTGGTTGAGAGCACGCGATGGCTGTTTATGCCAGTACAGTTGTTCGGCCTGGCGAGACCAGAAGCCTTCTGGGTCGCGCAGGGAGATGTTGTGTACCAACTGTTGCGGGTGGAGTGACATCGTGGACCGATAACGATGCTGGAAAAGGGATGAGCCTCTCTTCGAAAGCGTCGAAGGAATAGGACCGAAACAAATAGTAACGGATGCAAAGCCGATGGAAGAGACAAAAAACGGACTGGCAGCAACACACGCCAACATGGCCGACATGAATAGAGAGCGGTGTCAGTTCCGGTGGGAGGATGAGGGTCCTCTTGCAGATACTGAGCAGTTAGTCCCTGTCACATTCCGCGGATGGGTCAAGAATTGGACATGCTATCCGAGACCGCGCTGATGTGCCGTGAGTCTAAGGGGGACTAGCATGGACACCGGCGTTTAACGTGCAGGCTCGGGGATGTGTTGGTCTGTACTAGGGCGATGCACCGCCGAAGTGGCCGGAGGGGAAGAAAGGGACACTTTTAACATGGTTTGTCTTCATCCAGAGGGGCGTTCGTGGCGGCGCGACCGCACTGAGACAACATTGGACCGACAGGAAGCTCCGGTGACAGCCGAGGGGGATGTGTTGTCGATCACCGAGGATGATGAGGAGGAGGGGAAGGGGAAGTGGCAGAGAAAACGTGAGAAGGAGGAGACAAGATGAGAGAAGATGAGGGGGAAGCAGACCAAAAAGGTGGGGATGACTGACACCTTAACCCAGTTAAGCCAGTTAACAGAGACCCACCATCTTTCTCCGCTTTATGGAGACATTTCTCAACCTGTGCTACTCCAGCAGATCAGAATCAATTCCTTGGAAAAGCGAAGATAATTGTACAGTACAGTTTGGATATTTACTAGTCTCTACTAGGAATGAGCGAAAATCATGAACGAAGAGACTTTGTCCACTGATAGTACAGAACCTACTACTCCAATGTTGACTAGTGACCAGTTGAGTTAGCCAGCCTCAAGAATGAGACCTCATGCATGATAATACTTAGTAGTAGCAGTAGTAGTACGGAGTACCAAAGTATCAGACGCGATAACCGAGCCGTTACAATCTTACTCAGTACCCAACTCCCATTAGTTAGCATTACCTCTTGGGACAGTTCGTATTCAGGAAAAAGGAATTCATCCAATGCCTTCATTGGGACTTCCTCACTGGTCAGCTGCTTTCAGCTAGTAGCTTCAGCTGATATGTATACTAGTACTTACCGTTAGTATAGGTGTTCAATTACCAATTGCTCAACCTACAAATGTCAAGATACTAGCATACTGATAATCACCGGCCGACCGACTGGCAGCAGTACTACTAGTATAACTCATTTATCTACTGTTTGGGTCTCTCCCCGCATACGGAACCACCCTCAACATCAACCGGTGACGGAAATAGAATAGTATATTAGGTTATCGAAGGGACCCCTCTTTGTTTTTTTATATCTTTGTGATTCTTTTGTGGTAATGCCAATGCATCGAAATTTCACAACTCAAAAGCTCAGCCGTAGGGTATCATATCGCAATGCCTGCTAAACGGTCGACTGCCATCCTCGCTCTACCACACGAGTCGTTCCATCATCTACCGCCGCCCCTCATCGCTTCCTCCGACTCATCGCTCTCCATTGCCTCGTCCAGCTGCCCCTCTTGCCTCCTGGCCATTCATGCGCCATTCATATATGCAGAAGGTTTGGGCGCTGCGCCGACGGGCGCCGGACAACCAAAGCCAAGAAGAAAACGAAATAAAAGAAAAGAAAACATTAACAAACAAGAACAGAGATTGCGCATCGTTCTATGGTCCCAGCAGCTCCGGAATCCCCTGTCCTCTGAAACATAAGATCCCCCATTGTAGCCGAAACACCCTGCCATGGACGCGAAAGAAAACCCAGCCCCCGGGCACATATAATACTATTAATAAAAAAGCATGGTTCATGCATCAAGCACAATCGCTGACCCGCCCTCGCATCTGTTCGAATTAAGCACCTGCGAGGAAGGGGACCGAGAGGACGAGCGTCAACGAAACAATAAACAGGTCGAAAGTTGTACGTTGCGTAAAGATCTTGCTGGACGGCGCATTTTCGACCAACCGCTTTGAACATGGGAAAGATGCCGCCCCTGGTCCGAACCTCCACGAGGTCATATAAGAGAAGTATGAGATAGAGAGGCCAGGGGCAGACGTAAGTTGGGGAGAGGGGGAGAGGGAAAAAGAGATAAGAATGCGAAAAGATAATCAGATCACTGACTGATCGAGAAATATAGGTGTGTGATCCTTGCAGCAGCAGAAGCAGCAGGGGCCAGCATCTAGGAACCGGGAAGGGAATCAATCAGCCAGCTGAACGGGCCGTGCGCAGCCAACTATTCACAGAATCGTGCACTTGAACGGGCGGCGATGGCTTCCTGTACGGTCGGGCCGGAACGATCTGGGATATTCGGGACCAGGATCACGCCCGGCACCCAAACCGGTCGTGCGTCGATCCTGAGATCGCCCTTGCTGTTGCTGACGCTGCTGTCGCAACATGCGGACCACGTCATAAAAGGCCTTCTCCACGTTAATGCAGTTCTTTGCGGAAGCCTCGACGAATTCACAACCAAGATCCTTGGCGAGCGCCTGTCCCTCCTGAGCCGAAACGGCGCGCTCAACGGCCTTGTCGCTTTTGTTACCAACCAGCATGACCGGCACCGGAAGCGGGGGGCCCGAAGGCGTGTGAATCGGGGATCCCAGATAACTGGCCCCCGAGGGCGAGCCGGAGTTGGCCGATTCCTTGACCATCTTGATCTGATTGTAAAACTTCTGTATGCGGGAGAACGAAGCTCTCGAGGTGATGCTGTAAACGAGGACGAACCCTTCGCCGTCACGGATCCATTGGTCTCTCAGCGCAGTATATTCCTCCTGACCTGCTGTGTCCAGTACTTCCAACATGCACGACTGTTGATCAATCACGACTTGTTTACGATACGAGTCTTCGATGGTCGGATCGTAGGTTTCAACGAAATGGTTTAGACAGAGCTGTTGGGAAAGACCAAGGTCCAAAGATCAGTTGTCGGGACACCAGTGCGGGCGGGTACGCGAAGGGCTAACCTGAATTGTGAGGGCTGTCTTTCCGACACCACCATCCCCTAGCACCACCAATTTGTACAATGTCATTTTCCCCGACATGGTGAATGATTATTCTACCAGAATGGTAGGGTGATAGGTTGAGAGATAATTGGGTGTGTCACTGGGGAACAACCGGGGGTGGGTAAAGACCACAGGAGTGAGAAGAGGAAGAGAGGGAAAGAAAAGAAAAGCAAAGAGATCTATGAAGGCTCCACGGTGAGCACGGACGCGGGAACGGAGCGTTTCGATTCGCGAAACGCTGGGGTCCTAAGGAGGACGGCTATTTGGGTAGTGCGGTTAGCCACCGGAATCCATTGCCTTTGGACCCCCAGTCCAAGCTCGCCAGTCCACACCGGAAGCGACAGGAGCAGCCAGAGGAGGGGGTAAGGGAGGGGGAAATACGTACCTAAAATGCAGTGGGAAGAGGGTGGTAATTAGGGGAGAAAGAGAGTGAGGGAGAAAGGTGTGAACGAAGAGCGATTAAGAAGTCGCCGGATTCTCGTTACTGCGACCTTTAAAAGCAATGGAGGGGGGGAAAGCAACCAAAGATAGGCAGAGAATGTGGTGAAGGAGAACCTCTTGATTTGGCTCGAGGACTCTCAAATAAGCGGCCACCCACAGCTGCAGAATGGCACAAGCGGGCGGAGTTCAATTAGTGAGCTGGCCCGGAACTCCGCGTGAACGTAAGAAAATAAGATGAACGGGGCTCGCCCGAGCTTCGAGACACACAGGAAGGTTTGCCTCAAGGTAATTCTGCCACGTGAGGGGCGAGACGCAGACAATGATCGCCAGCAGCGGATGTGCTGAGAAAGTATCCGCAGGCTGCAAAAGGTGACTTTTTTTCGGGGGGGGGGATGCTGAGTTTTGACGAGAGTGGAGGGGGAGGAGGGGAAGAGGCGCAGGACCTAAAGGGAGAGGAGGTCCAAAGAGGCTTGGCCGGAAAAGATTCGACGGAAGAGGGGCAAGCCCCAATTGTTGATGTTGTTTTGGGAATGGTTCCAAGTTAAGGTCCCGAAGAATGAGAGGTGTACCCGGGAGAGGAGGAATCGAGGAAAATGGAAAAGAGGGAGAGAGAGGAAAAGAGAGAGAACAGAGGATGGGAAGGATTCTAAGAAGTACAGAAAGAAATAATAGAAGGATGATGAGGGGATGGTATGGAGAGGGTAAAAGGGAAAATTAAAATGAGGAAGAATAAAATAAAAGAGAAAATTAAATAAAAAGAAAAGAAAGGGCGAAAAAAAGGATGACTAGGACAGAGGGATGATAGATAATGAAGTAGCGGAGACGATGATCCCTGCTGGAGACCAACAACCGCGGTTTAGTTTCAAGAGGTAAGTAGTAGTAGTAGTAGTAGGAACCCAATCAATGGATGGGCTAGATCGGAACCAATGAAATACTGGAATCAATCTAACCGGGCGAGACACAATTGGAGTTGGGATTGGAACGAGAAGATCATAAGGTGATGATGGGAGAGAGAAAGCAGAGGCAACAATGATACTGTGTAGGCGAGATGGATGGAGTGAGAAGAACAGAGAAGGGAGGAGGTTGCAGTAGGAGGAGGAGGGGGTGGAAGTAAGTAAGGTAAAGTAAAGTCAAGTAGACCGACCGATGGAGGGGATAGGAAAGAAGTGGATGAGACGAAAGAGTCAAAAAAAGGTCACAGGATGACAGTTCTAAGGCAGGAGGCAGTCAAATCCGTCAGGTCATTCAGTTGGTTGAGTGAATGAGTGAGTGACCCAAGTCAACTACCATACTACTGAAGGTAAGCAAGAAGGTAGTAATCTGGAGCTGAACAATGCTGCAACCCAAGACCCACGGGGGGTTGTGGAAACAAGTGGGAGGGTACGGTATGATACGGTCATTTTGCCCGGTATGGAAGTCTCCCGGTGGATATCCGCTACTTTCAGGTAACAACAACCCCTCCTCTTCTCTCTCTCTCTCTCTCTCTCTCTCTCTCTCTCCCTTTTCTGTTCTCGTTCTGACGTAGAATTGAAGATTCTCATATAGATTACACTCTACCGAGTACATTGGGGAATTGCAGGAGTTGGCCCAACCTTCGCTGTTCTGATCATGCTGTTGTACCGACCACGCGCACTGGGAACGAACCAATTTGAACCTGACAACCCATACGGTGAACCGAAATCAATCTAGAATCTAGACCATACTATCTGACATGGGTATATGATTGGGAAGAAAACTCTAGAATTGCATAGGAATGAACTACCTATTGCATTTTGTCTATCTACAGAGCTTGCTGCCTGCGACGCCTCGTGCTTTACATCATATATCGGTCCCTGTCCCACCTGGTTTGTTTTGTCCGCTGCTTACAGGACAAGGAGTTGCATTCAATTTGAAGTTCAGTCTTGAGATGGTTTCGGGTAGACACGATGTGGGTGCATGGAAACACTAAGTTCAAGGCTGGCTCCCCACAACAGACATAAGTCAGAACGGGCATGGTAACTGGTAACAAATGGTATTCGCCCCGATTGCAGAGTTGCAGATTGGATCAGGAGTCAGGAACAGATCCATTAGCTCTGAGTGTCCCTATCACAGAGGCATTAAGGAACAATCATTCGCCTGGCGCAAAGAGCAATCCAATGCGCATGTGGTGCCAACAATTTAAGCCGCGATGAATGAAAGGCCAACCATACCACACTTGCTCATGCCGTGCGCAGGCGAGTAAATCTTAGATACCTGCTGGTGAACAAGAACCTTTTGCGCCACCAGGTGACTGTCCGAAGTTCTACCAAGGGACCAGAAAGGCAGTGCTCGATATGACGCCTTATGGAGCAAGCCACTCGTCTGTATGGACCGAAGTAGGTCCATGAGGACCCATCCATCCCGTGTAGCAGGAGGATTTTCACGGTTGACGATGCCCTAAGAGTCGCAAGTTCCACTCAAGTGCGACGGGGAGAAGGAAAGAACATTCCGCGCCCCCCTCTCTCCCCTGGGGAACCGGACTAAAACCAATCTTCCTGATTATCGGGATTTTGAAAAAGTGTAACAAATTCGCCCAAGAGCCATTGTACTTGGGATGCGAAGCGTCGTTGCTTGCCAACTAGTAGAAGAGCGTGGGAAACCTCAACGACCTCGGACAATGCTAGTGAGTTACGAGTATTCTATTAGTCATTATTTGCACACTATTGGGGAGTTAACCTTGATGTTCACCAGGAACAGGTTCGTGGATATAGGTGCCCCCAACATCGTAGAAGACTACTAGTAGCGTTCTCGAACAACGAAAAGGGGCTAGCTAAGTAGAACAAAAGTCTCCATCGCCGCGGTATATGACGTTTGACAAATCGGCTTCCGGTCAGTCTTAGTTTGAGGATGGGAAATCCCTGGAGACACCCTGGTGGGGAGGGGAAGGCATTATTGTCCATTCCCCCCTATTGCATCTGCAGCATAGGGAGATTTATCGGAAGCAAAAGGTCACCATTCATGAGCTAAAATGTTCGCCCCTTGAGACACACTAAATAGGTTAGGAGAGATCAACCGTTCGAGGTAGCACAGTATTGCATGTACCGTTGACCTTGGAAAGAGACCTAATTGACTAGTAACACTGGGCTCTCCAGCCTCGAAGACGATGTGAAATACGATAATATCCTCCGTAGTTAGTTAACTAACTAATAGCATATTCTGAATTTTGCTGGCTATCTGTTGGGTGACCTTCTACTATTGTTGGAGGTACAGATCAAGTATCGGGCCGGTCCATAGCGCGAGAGTTGGACCTCCGGCCCTTCCTTTGAGCTAGAGCTTACTGCCTACAGCGACGCACCCAGAGTCAGTCCTTCGAATCACTTCCATCCCATCGAGATTGTGCGGAGCGAGCAAGATTGAAAGAATTTTTCCTCCGGTTAACCGGACTGAGAGCAGACAAACTCTTACCAAGCCACACTATAGGCGCGATCTTTTGAAGAAGAACCTGCCGGTCTGCCCTTGAAATCCTTCCTATTCGCTTGCTTGATTCTCCCATTAGTTACCTGTTCTGGTTTACCGCGAGTGTGACAGGGTTTTGGTCTGTCGGCTGCGGGAGGACAAACTGTAAATTCAACAAGAGAATAATAAATTCCCCTGGATAACCACACAAAATACACACACACAGACACACTAACACAATTAGGCATTAATGTCTCGTCGCAAGCAGAATCCCGCTTACTGTGTGCTATCTATCCGTTAAGCACCTTCCTTCTCGGGGGGTTCCAACCGTTGTTGACATCTAGATTAATATGAATTAATCAACGACGAATCCACCAGGAACGCGAACCCATCGTGATGTGGCCTATCCCCTGGGATTTTGAAGCCATCCATCATTTTTAAATAGCATCGCGAGTTATAATATCCCGGCCCCATTTCCTTCCACGTGGGTGGCTAAAGTAGCTCTCGGGGACTACTTAGCTACGTACTATTAGGTAGTAACTACTGCTATCTAGTACTGTGTGGTTGATAGCTACTGGACGGCGGTCCGTGGTCCAGAATCTATCCTCCTCGGGGAAGTAAATCTATCGGTCTTTTCATTCCCACTGAATCGCCGGACCTGGTCATCTTCATGATAGGTAATCTGGAAGAAAATTCTGACACCGACGGGATGCCCGCTCCCTTCATTGGTGTCTGTTAGTCGTAGCCGACGCTACCGGCTTAGTCTTCGTCCCATCACAATCAAAACTGACTCGCACGTCTTTCAACGGTGGATGGACCGCCGGCTAGTCCGGAACAGGTCAGATTCAGGTTTCCGTACCTGCTCCAGTCAAGAAAGCTATGAGTAATGGATAATTCTTTGGTTGAGACTTTTTTATTTCACTTTTCTTTATCATCAATATTTTTTTCTATGGATTTTTTATACTTTACTATTATTTTTCTTCCTCTCCCTCTTCATCCTCGAAATGAAATGCTCAACAACTCTCAAGAACAGTGGTATGTATTGTGTAGAAAAGCCAGTCGAGGACCCCTACATTAGGAGCGGCAACACCATACATACTTAATACTTAGTATAACCGCCAGTGCGTTTTACTTCCCTTCCCTCTCCCCTCTCCATCGGCCAACCTAGAACTACCGGCTGCATG